ATTAAACTTGACGGTTGGATTTGAGGATCTCTGCAGCTACGAAAATGCTGTTAGGGGGGAAAAGAAATATGAGAAATGATAAAAACCGAAACGCGGAACACTCTCATTTCTGCAGACACATCAGACGAAGGCTACAATAACTGCAGGCAAAAGATTGCGTCGATGCACAAAAAGCAGCGCTACAAGTACGAGAGGATATCAGCCCAAAATGGAAGTGCTTATGAATGAAGATGGGAGCCGGGTAACGAAACAAGTACACGTTAAGAATATACGTAAAAAATTCTACATGAATCTACTCATATCCCGTGGCGACATTTCTACACTTGTAACTTCTGTCGCCAGGCAGCAAATCACTCCTGTACTTGTCGGCGAGATAAATTACACAGCCTTTCAAAGGAAAATGGAAGGGCTACCGACAATGGCAGTATTAACACTGAACTTATGAGACCCGAAGGGCAAGGAGCTCGCATCATTCGGTTCGGTCATAGAACAGCAGCAGTATATTATTGGGTAAGGTGGTCGGGAAACATGTCCTAACTCCCTTCCCGACATTTTTCATCCGTACAATTTACTGGCAAAAATTTTTCAAAGGCACCTTCTGAGTCAGACAAAAATTCCCGAGAGCATTTCTTCCTTTATAAAAATCATCCCATTATGTCCCTTTCAAAAAACTGCATTTATTATAGTACGTGCACACTAAAGGCTCTACAAAAGAAAAATCTGACAATCGAACATAAAAGTGCATACTTTGCAAGTTGGGCGAATTGCACGGATCGCTGTACAAGATTATTCCTACGGTCCCGTGGTGTATAACCGGCACTTCCATGCATTTTCATCTGAAATAATTTTTAATAAAAACTAATACTTCCAGACATTTCAAGATTTCTACATGCTTTCCGTGTTGGGAAGACGAATTCGCAGACAGCGTTGCTCGACGTCAGTGGAAGCAGTGCCATTTTAAGTAAAAAAATTTTGTTGTATAAAATTATAGCATGCATCAAGGAACGGTGAATCGCCTGGGATGAGCGTACTTCTCCCCTACGCTCCAGGATAGGGGCTGCACAAGCAGCAGTGCTCGATCACAGGAGCTGCGCTGGCATCTGTGCTTGCGTACAGAAGCTACAGTCGTTCCCCTGTTCCAGGGTACATGCTGCACTC